TTTATTCATTTGCTCGCCCGAAGTTTAGTTCGCGACAGATTCCGCCCGCTTTTCCAATCGCTTGTACTTCAGAAACTACTAATGCTTCGACGTTTTCGCCGAGGGACAATTAATTAATTCTAAATTGCTTCGAAAAGCTCGGTAGAATGGAAGTCGCGAATCCTGGATACCCTTGCATAGTTGTTCCAGAGTTGTTACAAGATATTTTGATAGCTTATTCCGGAGTTTAATCGCGGGGTCGAAAATCCTCGCATGAGAATGCCGGGGACACAGAATTGTTTTCGAATTATGAGCGATGATATCGCTCCGCGTCCGTTCCAGCTTCCAGCCCCCCGTCGATTATCCTTCATGCTCTTCCAGCGCATTCGCGAACGCGATGATCTCAACGGTGCTTAACGATTTAACGAAAATGATACGATAAATCCCGGCACTTCGGGGAGGCGCGCTCGCGAGGAATCGCGATAATGCAAAAGCCGCGAGATTAAAGCCGATCGAGCGGATTTATTAAGATAGTTGGTACGTAGAATACTGGGTTTTTTACAGCCATATTAAAGGATCTCTATTAGTTTATTATTTACTGAAAAAGGATACTTTTCTATCATTTTATTTAACTAAGTAACAAATGTCAATTTTTAGCGAAATGAATGCAAATATATACATACAGTATTGCAAGCGCGGAGATATGATTTATTTTTTATTCTTCTTATTCTATTCTAATTATATGTTAACTTTGTTGAACTAATAGGGAACTAATAGGGATGCACGCATAATAGAAAGTGATATATAAATATTTAAATTTGTGTATATGTATATATATCGCTGGTATCGCTACACTGAAAAAAATAAGTGTTATCGTTCAAATAATATTTACTTGATCTAAATTAAATGGATACCCCTTGGCAGATATTTATTAGAAATAGAAATATAATTGACTATATATAATGTAATATTTTCATATAAACAGACATTTTACTTATATGTATTATAATATTATCACAAGTATTTAGTTCATTGATATAATAGAATATCGGAATTTATTTTTAGAAAATATTCACTGGACAGAAAAATCTAAATTTAAAACCACTAGATTCCTTCAATGAAAAAGATGTATTACATAATTCTCGTAAATACTCCCCAGAATTTTAGAAACATTTTACACTTATATTCAGTAATTCATGTTACAAGTTAAAATATTACTACGTCCAAATAAATATTAACTATTACAAGCTATTAAAATATACTGATAAAACTATTACTTAATTTAAGAGACTGAAAAACAAGTAATTATATTTGATTGATTCTAGCATTATTTTCCCTGTGTATAAATTGTAAATTTCCTAAGGAAATGTTTATCTAATATCTCTTTATATTAATCCTTAATATCACGAATTTCTCATTGAATTTCTAAATATGGTTTAGAAGGAATTAAAAATAGATGTTGAAAATAGAACATTAATATGATAAGAAACACGTATAAAAAGTGTCATTTTTAGTTGCGAATATCTTAGCTTCCAAATAGTCAATCGTTTTCTAACTTTACAGACACGTAGCTAGTATTTTTATGAATATATTTTTATGAATGTAGTTAACGTTTAAGAAGATTTCCACGACAATAATTTAATGGATTCCAATTACCTTAAATTGATGAACGCGGTCACACGAGTGGCAGTCGCGAGCTTCTCTCGTGCGCAACGACTTCATGCGACAAATTGCTCGTTACGCACGAGCAACGTTCGTTTCATTCATAAAAAAAAAAAGAAAAAGAAACGAGCGTGGAAAAAAAGAATCGTCGGACATATAACCGTGACGAAAACTTTCGGAATATTCGCATCGATGATAATTTCATCCGAACGCGCGCGTCCAACTCCGTTTATTCGATCGCCGGGCTTGAACGAGCTCCGATCAATCTGGCGGAACAAGTTGGTGAAACTGAACACAAGGTACCCTTATTAGTCCTTTCACCCGGTGACCTGATTTTTCGCAGCACGCTTCGCCGTCTCGCCAGCGACAACGTCCGGTAAGACGCGCAGCACGGCGGCGCGCCTATACTAAACGGCATCGTACCTAAAAATACCTCTTATGTCCATTCAACAGGTGTGCGAGATAAGAATGTCAACGCGCTCGCTAAGTAATCCGCGCGGCGGGTACAATAGAAATCGACCTGTGATCGCGCGCGCGTGCGCGGCCGACTGTGTGTCGGTATCAGATGGACTGGATTAATTCGGACCGCTCCTTCTCGCAAAGCGATGCGTCATGTAATACGATTGTTTTATCTGACATGTAAGCTCTAATACCACACGCTCGCCGCTCGCTAGCTCGCTTACTTTATTTATCTCAAGTAACTTTGTGAGAAAACGAGATAGCAGCGGTATTTACAACCCCCTTGTGTCCGAGCCGTTGCAAAGTCGAGGTTTACTTTGCATTATTGCGTTATCAATCTGTCAAATACCTGTCGATGTATATCTCTTGGATTTCCTTAATCCATTAATTGAACCGCGTCGGAATCGGAAACATCCTCAGCGAGTTTATATTGATTGAGTCGTTGCTCGAGTTTTGTCTCACGTGAAGATACTTACGCACGCGGAGAAAAATCATTTTGCTGCTGTAACTTTATAAATAATATGATATTTCTCTCGTATATGTAAACAAAAAGTAAACAATTGCAACGAGCATGAAATACATAATATTGAGAATATCGGAATTTATTTTTACAAAATATTCATTGGTCAAAAAAATCTAAACTTAAATAAACCACTAAATTTCTTCAATGGAAAAGAAGTATTACATAATTTTAATAAATATTATCTTAAATTTAATATTATTTTATACATACATTCAGTAACTCACTTACAAATTAAGATATTACTACGTTCAAATATTTACTACAATTATTAATACGGCCTTAGAGTTAGATCTGAGCTTTTCAGTTGAATCCTGCGATACACATGATGTTAGATTTGTAGTCGCGATTCCACCACGAAAAAGTCACACTCAACTCCAATTTCATATCCGAGTATTGTTTACTTGAGGCAAGTTTCAAGTCACGGCAACTAATACGGGCTTTGGAAACTTTGTAACTTAGTAAAGACGGGTCGGACGAATCAACTTGTTTTGTTCTCGTCAACACTGTTGCGTTGACAAAGTTTTCTAGCGCAGATAACAGCAATAATGGTACAATCAAGAGTAAATTGGGTAAATTAACATGTTGACCGCCACGTTGATTTCCATCGATTGTCCCGACGCTCGAACTGCGGTTTGTTCGGCCAAGCTTCAATAAATGCATTTCTATTGTAAACAAACGCAATTCCTGATATACGTGTACTCGTTGGCTCGTTTTATTGCCTCCTCATTGGCCGTGCATTTAATTCGTTATACGCGGTCGTTGCGTTTTATATATAAATCAATCAATAAGACGTTAGCAACGGAAATACATAACATGAACTGGCGAGATATTACAGCGACGATCACATTGGCGATCCCAATGGCAGTGTTAGAGAAAGAAGCACTAGATCTCGAGCGATATTAAGGAGATGAATTTTCATTCTACTTATTGTCGACCGCAATTAAAAAAAAAGAAACGTGACAGGGGCCACGTAGAGACAACGAGTTCTCGGGAAGCCACGATTAAAAGCCGGCGAATATTGGCGGATATGCCGTGTCTTTCATGACGCCCGCACAAAGGAACGTCTGTGTTACTCCGATCTGTCTTCGTGAAACTCGATACTCTATCGTGTACACGACGAGGACGATAGTTCTCGCGGGCTGTAGTGTGGGCTTATAAGTATTCCAAGTGCCGTTCGCGAGTCATTATGTCATGCTCCGCGATGTATCATAAGCATGTTTTGTAACGACGTACAATACTCGCATAGATACCTAGCTCGAACTTGATGCGAACTTATTCCCAGCTTATACAGGCTGTTAACACGTTGACCCTGCCATGTTGTGTGTGTCACCGGCGCTACAATATCGCCGTATATCACCAATTTACGCGTACTAGAAAAAAAGAAATGCTACCGTTCAAGTAATATTCACTTGATCGAAGTAAAATGGTTACTCCTACACTCCTTGGCAAATATTTACTAGAAATATAATTGACTATAAATAGTATGATATTTCTTTCGTATAAGTAAATAAAAAAATAAACAATTGCGACGAGTGTGAAATATATATAAGGTTATTATTATTACTATCGAAGATCTAAGAGCCGGCATATGTAGGGCCGAAACGTCTGGACGGACAAATAAATATTTCAATCCGTACTATTCTCTCTCTGCTGATTTCTACTGAAAATTATTTGTTCATTTTATTGCACTATAAAATCCGCATCGAGGCTTTTATTAATAAAGCCATTTCATATATTTTATGTTTGTGAATGCACACACATATAGAGTGAAGCAATAACCATTACCACCTTGAATATCCTCTCGAAAAATAACAATATTTTATATAACGACTGGACGAATGGATGAAAAAAGTTGAAATCTACAGAAGGTAACCATTGACGGTCATCGAAGCGATGACCATTGCATGTATCAATGCAATTACTGTTAGACAAATTTTTCCTCTACTCTCATACTTCGAAAATATTCAGGGTGGCATAATAGCCTCGCTCTGTATATCTCTGTATATCTCTGTATATCTGATAGAGAGACAATGAAACGCGCCGGCGAATGTATGCATTGTGAATCGCATTGATTTGCATTATCTTTGATGACTCAACTTGAGTTGAAATGATCGGTGGAAATCCAGCACGTGACAGTCAATGTGTTAACCGTCCCGATGATGCGTTGATAATAATTCAACCGTAATAAATTTTTACACTTCGACGAGTGATGCAAATGACTGTTCGTTAATAAGCGATTACCGCGATAAACGCGTGACTCGGGTGAGGAATTCCTCAGAACTCACAAAGCATTACGTAATCTCACGTCGCATGCTCGCGCCGATGAACACTCCGGGCGAAATAATTTGCATTCTCATAGTGCTTTCTTATTTTGCAGAATAAAACGGATGCCGATGTCATCAAAGTGATTGCCTACATTCTTATCATAGCCGGCGCCCTCACGTTTATTGTCAGCTTCCTTGGATATTGCGGTGCCATGTTCGAGTCTAGATGTCTTCTTTGTGTCGTAAGTCCGTTCTAATGAAACTTGTATCGTTTGTCATCATCGTTCACACATCGCCCTCGAATACAGGACGAGAAGAGTTTCCCCGATTCCCGTGTTTTCACAGAAACAGAAAGTGGAAGTGAAAAACGGACAAAGTAACCGAAATCGATCATCGGCATCCCGATGAAATTTTATTTTCGCTCTTTTTTCGATCGCAGCGGATTCGAACGGAGAAAAACAAGGTTTTGCTGGAACAGCAAATTGTTTGTTAATGTAGTGACAAGCAAGAAAAATTGTTATACGGAAAAAATAACTTTGCTATTGTAGCAAAATGTCGTTGTGACAGCGATAAAACTTAATTGGCATTATTTTGCTGTCTAAACAATTTTTTTCTTTTGATGTCATTATATTGTCACAAACAATATGCTGTTCTAGTAAAATTTTTGCTCCGTGCAGCATTTAACGTGACTTAACAAAATTTTTCCAACAGAATCGAGCACCAAGGGAGGAGGATACTTTTTAAGTAGTTCATTGTCTTAATTTTTTGTTTGATAAATGTTTATCTAAATATTCTATTATCTAAATATTCTTTAACCGTTCCATCGAGTAAATTGTCCTTCAAGTACAAAGGATGGTCTTTCTTATTTGTTATTTATAATTCGACTCGAACACTTGATTCACCATTTCTTATTGTTTAAAAACCTGGTGCTTTCTCCTTTCGATTTGATTTTCTCTGTGTACTTCGGACGAAAAATATAAGAACATTTTTCTGTGCTTGCAGTACGCCATTCTACTCTCCCTGGTTTTACTCCTGGAGTTTGTAGTTTGTGGGCTCGCTTATGGATTTAGAGAAGTGCGTATATTTAATAACTGTTATATCCCCGAATCTGTTCTTAGTCGTGTATCATCACCAGTGATTACGATAATCGCAGTGCGAAAATTCGCCCATCGGGGAATCAGCGATGATCCGCCGATATAGGCACAAGATTAATGATAATGTGAAATTTATACAGGCTGATAAAGGTACGCAGGATTTCTTGAAGTCAACCATCAAGTACTACGCGACTACCGCCGACAAAGCTGAAACAGTGACAGTCGCATGGGATGGAATTATGACTGAGGTAAAGTGACCAATTATCATTTAATGCGACGCGTCAGTTGCAAAAATGCATTCCCGGGCGCGATTAACGCGTACTAACACGCGAGTTAATGTTACACCGGATTACTTCCGGTTTTCATTCGCCTTGCGTGTGGAAGCACGATTAATCGGCCAACTGGAATCGCTAACTGCACAGCGCTTTGGTGAAAGTTAGCGGTATCGCGGACAAGCGCTATCGTGCCCACTGTATCGCGTATCTTACAGAGTCCGGCGTTATTCAAATAACTTTGATTGAAATATCGAATTCGAATCGATTTTTTATCGAATAATTCCTCTTTGATTTGGAACAGAATAAATAATTATCTGATATTCGAAATAATAAATCATTTACGTCATTTATAATTTGTAAGGTTATATAATTAATAGAAAATAAATTATAGATGTAATGAATCATTGATAAGACATAACAAATAGACATAATAATTAATAAGATAGATATATAAGGTGTCCCAAACTAACAGGAACAAAGTCGTGAAAGTGTAGAAAGCGTGAGGTAAGCTAAGGAGGTTCTCTACCATTTTGCGAACACAGCACGCAAAATTTCGAGTTATTAATTGTAGAAAATGGCCGTGTATAGAGGCCTTCTTTACTTAGTAACTCAAAAATTTACACGTTATTTGCAAAATGTTGCGGGACTTTTCACGCGCTACACTCTCACGAAGTTTGTTCCTGTTAGTCCTGTATAATTTGTAAGATACCATATGTTTTCTCCGTCTGTTTATCTTTTCGACCACGGAACTATGGGAGAAAGAGGAGGAGAGCAAATGAAAAGGAAATAGAACGTTTAGTCTATAAGTCACAGAGCGTTCGAAATGTGTGACGTCGACGCGAATGTTTTCAGTTCCATTGTTGCGGCGTGGAGAGTTATCGAGACTTCAGCGAAAACACGAATTTCACCGTAAACGGAAAGATGGTTCCCGAAGCTTGTTGCATAAAGGAGAACGGCGTTCTGAAGGACCCTATCTGTCCAATCAGTCCCACTGCCTCGAACTCGTATTATGAAACGGTAAGTTGTGCCTTACACTGCTCTGTTATATTTGTACACATATATATCGTATATTCAGCGTTATTAACGCTAAGTAGACGCTGCTGATGGGCGTTCAGATCGTCGTCTACAAAATTATCGAACGATTCAGACGTACGAGGAGCCGAGTCGCTTCAGATCTTCGAGATTGTGAGAGTTTCTAGAAAGTCTTGAAAAACTTTGAGAGATTCAAATGCCCCGAAAGCTCGAATTGACTGAAGCGTTTCTGATGATAAACATACAGCGAACTGCGTGCTCGAACGCGAGGAACGACGAACGCGTAGATGTAGATTGCACAGTGACAGTAGTTGACTCTCTCTCTCCGGACTTTCGAGCGCTCGATGTAACGAGAATCTTCTAGATTTTCCAGAATTTCTGGTTGCGAATACTTAACACTTAAGTCGAGTCGAGACTTTCGTTATATTGTGTATTCCGAGCGATTCCCAACCTGGTCCCCCGAGCTCATCGTTAGGTAGTGCCACACACCACCTAACACGTTAGCATAATTGCCGGTGTGTACGAATGGAAATCACGCGAACGTGTATCCACGTATAACACACTTTCTCTTTGACAGTTTTCTAAGTTGACTCGACATTGGCATTGCGTGCTCCTAACCCTTACGCGTCGGGGCATCCGTAAAGATATACCCAAGCAGATAGTTTCGCATTACGAGTGATAACATCTTCCTTATTCCGTGTAGAAAGGTATTAAGGTAGAATCGTAAGCTGAAAAGTTGATACCTCGCGAAATATCTTGTAGTTGGAAATATATGAGATTAGATTATGCGTCAAGCGCGATAAATTAAAATATGCCCAAACACGATATATGTAAAATAACGTAAGATAAAAAGAAAAGTATGTCTTCTAGCCGGGATATAACAGCAAAGAGAAACGTATAACAAAAGAGAGATTTATTTTTCATATTAAGTTTAAAGCACGGCTGTGCTTTGCAGATTGTGCTTTGGTAGATTCTAAGATCGCGTCTACACGGATAATTTATGTATTGTCTACGTGATGCTTACACAGACAAAAGATCCTCAAATTACCACTTCGTGGAAAGCGTTTCGAGTCGACAAAGGCTGTAAAAGAAAATTCGTCGAAGGAGCTGAGGGCCCTAGCCTCATCGGCTTACGTAAAGTTTTCGAAGAATGGGCAAAGTGTTGGCATATACTGCAAAGACGGAGACTATTCCGAAGGGGACAAACATCAATTTGTGTGTTTTATTTAACAATTCCGGATACTTTTTCAGCAGAAGGCGCGTTGTTTATATTCGTCTACGCGTAAACTATTGTATTTCACGCGTGAACGTCCACGTAACCCTGGTTTAAAGAATAGAAATGACCTGCCGGCCGTTCGCGAAATAAGTCGGTCTCTTCGGATCGAACGGAGTGTGAAAGCAACCCCGACTCTTTGTTTGTGTCGAAGGTTTTGAAGGAACATGACCGTCTCTCAACACTGAACACTTTGTACAAAAATGCCCGTTTATTTGCAGGGTTGCTACAAGGCCATAGTAAACGCCATAAAGGAGAACGAGGCGATAGTGATCAGCGTGGCCGCTACTCTGCCTTTAATCGAATTTCTGGTCATTGTTCTGGCGGTGTACCTAGTCTGCTTCCACTGGCGTCCGCAACATGGTAGGCTCGGTGTTAAAGTCAGTTACTAGATCCGGTAGTAGTTGTGTGAAAGCGCGTGAGAGTAACTTACGATTTTCGCTGAACGACCGCTGCTCGTACGGCGGTTAGTAGGGCTGCCAGTTCTGTTCATTGACGGTAAAATGTGATCTCTTTGACACTTTGCAGTTTATCGATGCGTAGAACCTTCTGGCAAGGAGTAACCTCGAGAGCGCAGAATGTGCTAAGCTTTCTGCCATGAAAAGAACGCAGTTCTTTTTCCTTTAAGGACTTCGCGAATACCTCGACTGTGTTTGTACGTGTATATATACATATATACATACATACATACATACATGCATTACTACATATATATACCAACACATACCGTGTAGATGTGTTTTACGAAGTGTCTCTCTCTCTCTCTCTCTCTCTTTCTCTCTCTGTACTATACATATATATATATGCATATATATATACATACATGTACATACGTGTTTTCCAACGCAGTGATGACGCAGTCCGGTAGCATCGTACCGCATCGTGCGCTCTGACTGCGTATAAGTTTCGTAGCTATGGCTCGTAACGACTGTCGAGGGGCTGAGCGATCGGCCGGGCGACCCGCGGACAGAAAATACCTTTTGTTGCACCCGGTTGCACTCGCAGAGCGACCGGCCGGATTGACCGGTCGCGGATCGGGTCGCTCCCGGTGGCGAGCCCTTCGACTGCTCGCTACCACTGTGGCATGTTGGACGTGTCCGATCTTGAGATAGAGGCCGCATCGAGCGGAAAGCGCATCAGGACAAGAAGGTGTATTCGCCCAATACACCGAAATGCTCGGTTTTGCATGTGCCAAAAAATTTCTATGTCGCGCGCGGTATATCCAAGCCGAGAGAGAGCCGCTAACACAAACAGCCGTCAAGCTGCGCTTTGTCTCGATGTTAAAACCGCCTGATGTATCGAGCCGGCACTCTCGCTTCTTTTCCACATCCATTCCGAGATCCAGATGTGTGCGAGCCGGACAATGTCGTGGTCGACGTCGCCGAGCGCATTCGTCCGAATTGCTTCTCTGAACGCGCGCGTAATCCCCCTCCCCTCAGCTGCGCGAAGACGAAGGGCTTAGACGTCGAGGACAGGCCGAGAGCTCGTGTACTTTTTATTCGGCTGTGGGACTCTCTGTAAATGTATTGTTTTTTATACGGTTATACCGAATGCAAAAGTATTAACACATCTGGCATTCGAGAAAGAGCCAAGCTCGAATCGGTGATGTGTTCGTTGTCGTTCGCGTAGATCTTGTCGACTTTCCGGTCGGAAATCAAGAGAAATTCGGTTCGGTTTCGCGCGGAATAATCGAGCCCGCAGGGAAATATCTGGATATCCGTTCGTATCCCGAGGAAGAGAATGAGGGAAAGAATATAGTATTATCATTATTAGCGTGTGTATGTTGGACTCAACGTGCGGTATAAATATTACTATGCGGTAATGCAGTGCGTCATCCGTCCGCTTCTCAAGCTCAGTCGGAAATGACCAATTTTCTACATATCACACCGCAATGCTCCTCGGCCTCGTAAACCACGACGTCGTCATCCACGGGTTCTCGCACTCGGAGGAGATGAGAATCAATCGAGCCCGAGTTATCCACAACGTGTAACAACGTCCCAATTATTTTGTATTCGATTACTACGTATTTTTATACTCCCCGCGTGTACCACAGCTCTCGAGCAGAATTCTCGCTTGAATTCCTTGAATCGTCGACACCGTCTCGTCCGATCGTCGTGTTGTCCTCGGCATGAGAGACCTTTTCACGGTACAATCGCACAATTACTTTCCGATGTTTCTCACATTCCGTTTGTCCGTGCCAGTAAAGAACAAAAGAGAAACTATCGCACAAGTTTTTCCATCGACGTCACTTGGACGATCCGCTCGCGGATCGGCATAGTGAAAATAGTGTTGTCGAGTGCAGCACAGTTTCACATTTTTGTCTCCTCCCCCCTCCCCCCGACGACGAGAGGCCAGACCTGCCAGCCTCGTCGAACGCGAGGATCACAATGTCACACAAATACACACAATGTATATTCATCCGTGCAATCACACACAACTCACTCTTATGTAAAGTATAGTAGATCCTTGTCACCTTGAAGGTAAACATTGACAAATGACAACTTGGTTCTTTTAGCTTGTGTAGACGTATCGTCGAGACAGGCCTGGTGAGGTGCCGAAATAAGGATGATGATGATGATTTTGATGGGGTTTGCTTTCAAGTAAGACGGAGGTGAAGCTGTCAGTTGACAGTTGACCTCACCTGCCTTGCCGCCGCCCTCCCCCCGGCGGCGCGTCTAGATATCTGTTACCCACCTTCGAGTGGCGGCTGCTCTACGAACGTTCTTCCTTTTCTTCCTTTTCTTTCTTCCTTTCTTTCTTGTTTCTTTCGTGAATTCTGTAGATTGAGGCATGCTAGCTTTTCTCTACTCTCTTGCATGGCCATGCTGTTGCATATAATTTCGACAGAGGGACAGATACGATGGATGGAGAGGGAGGCCCGATTGCATCGATCTCACCCACGGTGTACAGGCAGTAAACAGGTGCGGAGTGCTTGCATTGCATCGTTGACGGCTTGTAACAGCAGGCGCGGGATATACGTGGAGCGACGTTGTGGGACACGGCGACGCAGATGACGAAAATTGCGAGTGTGCTTGCGCATTAACAGTATGGCCGTTAATCCAACTGAGATCATTATGTTTCACTGTGTATCTGTAATGTATTATCGCGACGACGGATTTCGCTGCCGTACGTGGAGAGTGATCGAAGCCGAGAGAAATCCTTGCATGTTCTCGATGTTCTTGCGTGCGTGGCGCAAGGATTTCTCTTCTCCCTTCGTTTCCTTCATTCAGTGTTTAATTAACGCACTTGCTGTACGACTCTCCGAAATTTCGGCGGAAACGAAATCCTGGACCGAACCTTATATTTCGCGATGCACTTCCCGGGGAAAAAAAGAAGATCGTACACGAAATTTGTCCGTGTATAACTATATATAATCATATATGTCCACGACGGAAAAATACTGTTGTTTACAAATTATATGCAAATACGACCGAGGTAAATGTTTCCGGGGCTACTTGTGCTTTTGACAGCTCATGATATCGATTTTAATTAAATGACATAACATCATTTTTTTCCATATGGACATGTATGATTATATATAATTTTATATAATTATATATAATCATTTTTCCCGGGTTGTGTCAGAGCCGAGTGTGCAATTGGGCCTATCGTCGTCGTTCTCGAATTTCATTTCAGACGTTTCGCCGTGACTTTGTGCCCTCAATCAGGACTCTCATTCGTGAACTCGACGACCATCGACACAAGTGTGATCGAACGCACACGTGGCCAAATAACTTCTCCACTCGGAATTGTCGTGCGCCAAGTGACAGTATCGACGATTACTCTTTCCCCTTTTCTTCCTTTCTTGTTCATTTTGGGTTCATTTTCTTCTTCCCTCTTCACTAATTAGAGTAGTTTAGCCAGCAATCTATTGTCTCGATGTTGCAAACACTATATGGTACCTAACAGATATATCACGTATATGTACGCATATGCGTATCTCGCGTGTACATTGCGTGCCAGATATATCACAAGATGGAGAATCTCACTCACGTTTATATGTGTAAAAGGAAAAACGTAAAAAGCGTATTACTGTAAAACGGGATAACGTACAATTTCGGAAGGAGAAGTTTGTATCTCGATAAGGAAACAACTCGTAATGTGTGTTAGTGTATTCTGAATGTTTAACAAAAACTGTATACGCTATCTCTGTACGTATGCGCACCAAGCACACGCAAACGGGGGGGGGGGAGGGTGGCAGAGGACTCAAAGACTGAAAATTCGAGGAATCAACTTGAGTCGCGCGCGTTTACGAGTTGATGCGAGAGGAATTGAAAGTGTCATTTTCGGGATTATTGTTTCGAAAATGTCGCGGTGGTCCGGATATTAATACTAATTACCGTGTATATATACATTTGAGTAGAATATATTTTTGTAATTTCGCGACGTATCGGCGCGCATGATTACGGACGAACTCGCAAACTTCCGCTTGCTTGTTCATTTNGGGGGGTTGCCCGTGGATAAATTGAGGAGACGCATATTTATAGTTTCGAAAGCTCGGGAGAACTCGGGGGTTCTTTTTCCCATTTTTTCCGCGGATTTTCTCGGCTTTTGTACCGAGAAAAATTCGCTTAGAAAAATTCGCGAGTATTCGGTTAAAACACGTCGACATGCGCTTTTTACCGTGAAGAGGGATGAGAGAGAGACCGAGAAAATCCGCGGAAAATTGGAGAGAAGAATCGGTTTTCACCGAGCCTTCGAAATTCATTTTCGACAATACGATCGTGCGTATCTCGCGTGTACATTGCGTGCCACATCAAATGTGTCGGCAGGACCGAAAGGGGGAAGGGAAGGGAAAACAGGAATATATCGATGCACAAACGGTCTCGCTTTACGCTTTGTTTTCAGTACCTGAAACTTTCATAGATTTAAATGACGATAGGTCGAACCCGCGCGCGAATCTCTCTCTCTCTCTCTCTATCTCTCTCTTCTTTAGAAGCCGCCGTTGTTGTGATTTGCGGATCGCGTGCAATATACGTTGTGGATCGTGTGTGGCGTCGACTCGGTGAGAATGCTGCAAATACGACAATTCTTTTCCCATGCCAGTGTGCGCGTACGTACAACGCAATTGATACGATTAAAAGAAACACACGATAAAAGATAGAGGAAAAAAAAGAGAAAGAAAGAAAAAAAATACAATTGGACGGTAGTTTTACGATGCTCTTTTACATAGCTAACTAATTGTTCATGCCGCACATTCTAGACATTTTCGTTTCCAGTGTTAACTTGTTGGTGCTGCTGTTGACGAGGCATTAAGAGCATGGAACTGTTGAGTAGTGCCTCCTAGCACGTTGAGCCCTTTGTGCTCCTGTGCCTTGCTTGCTTGAAAGCTCTAGCCGCTGGCCCAGCCTAGGCTAGCTGAGAGAGGTCGGCCGACAGATACAAAATCCTGAAACGCTTGTATGACGAAACGTTTCGGGAAAAATTTGCCGGCAGTGACGTAGGGGATATTTTTTAGGTGACACACGCGCGCGCGCGCGCACACATACACACACACACACACACACAAAACACATTGTGCTTTTCTCAAAGAGAGGCTCCGTGTGCTTACGCGTCGCAGCGAAATTACAAAAAGAGGGAACAAGTACAAAATTATTTTAGTACAATTTTCGCTGCAGAAAGGTCTGTCCTTGGAAAAAAAAAGTAGAAGAGGAATATAATCACGAGAGAACACACGCCCTAAGTTATGTATCTTGAACTATCTCGTAACTCTGTGAAGTGTGTGTCACCTACACTTGTATATAATTGTATAAGAAGAAGAAGTATATTGAATTGTAGCGGATACAAAATATCCCCGGCGTCACTGTGGACTGACAACGTTTCGTAGTTTCTGCTGAGTGTTTATATCGTGTGGAGGTACAAGCGTTTAAAATAACAGCCAGTTGAGGTATCGTATCCGTGTATGTACCGCGAGAACGACAACCCGATAACGAAGAACTATATTGTGCAACCATGCGTTTCTTTTCGTTTCCCCGGCGGCGTTTGTCGTCTCACAGATCATCGGCGAAAGAATGTCGGATAACGGATAGCAGCTGTGTACATACTCGCAACTCCCGATATATAACGTTAGATATTTTCATAAATATTTTAGATGCTTGTATCATATAAACTCGGAATACTCACGCGTTTCTCGTCCATTCTCAGATAGTGGACAGTGGAATATACATATATGACGATATAATAATCGTAATCAAGAAGTACCGATGTATTTTTTCTCTCACGGATATATTTTCTGTACATTCACCATTCTCTTCTCCCTTTGCCTTTTTGTTTTTTCTTTCAACATTTTTATTGCGTTCAACGAAATCGTGTAAGAGCTTCTTACGTACACTTACTACGTATATAACAAATAGAGCTTTACACTCGAGGTAGCAGTCGGAGAGATACATGTGTCATTGTCAAATACTAACGAGTTCATGCAACCAATTATTATGAAACGCGAATATTTTTAGCAAAATGAGAGAAGAGATGTTATTGATGCGAAAGGTAAGGAGGTCGCGTAAAGTAAATTCCTGATTTACGCATAAAATGAAAGTCTCATATATTTATATAGTATATTTTGACTTCATGATGTATGCTTCTAGCTTTGTATTTTCCTAATGTACCTGGTTAATAAATCGGAGTCAGACGTAGCGGGCAAATATCTAAACAACGACGAGGCTACGTCGTCGCATTGACGTTGACAGCGTATGTTGGTGAAAGAGAATTTTATATATTTATCTTACGTATATATCGCGAAGTCAAAGTGCGTACGTATTTATATTGAATATGAACTCTCTTTTTTTTGTCAATTGCCGTGTATGGAAATGTGCTGCACATCATCGTTCTCAATGAAGGAATAACGATCAAACCTCCTTTTACCTCTGAGATATGTGCATTGAACTTAAAAAAAAAAATATATCAAACAAAAGAATATTTTATTATACATATACTTATATACATATATATATACATCTATATATATATATATATATATATACATACGAACCATGCAATACACAATAATGTGGACACTATATAAATGCGTTACTCGCATAAATGTAATATACGTGAGATAGCGCACAGACTAATCGGAGGATTGAGGTATTCTCTCATTAACTCATTAGTTGATAGTTTAAATACTATGATATGTAGCAAAATGCTTGTTTTTATAATGTGCAGTTTAATTTAGAGGTGGAGAACACATTTTTTGCATGCAATGCACTATAAAATATTTATATTTATTTTTAAACGTTTTTATAGCTGTCCATCTTGAAATAATGTAAAGGTCGTTTCTATTGCAATCCAACCCCTATACGGAGGACAACGATAGAGCGAATATTATCCAGAAGAGATTTTGTTTTGCGGAAACTAAAATACATTCCACGTATAGACAGTTTGAAACAACAGAGCGTGTCCTTCTATTGCTCGTAAAGAATATTAATTTACATTTACCTGTTCGGCTGTGCCACAAGATCGCTTGACGTTGAGCCACATAGGGATAAATTGCAATATAGATCACCTGATTCTTGCAATGCAGTTTAATATAGTGTGTTCCATAATATTGAATGTATAAATATCAGAAAAGCTGTTTATCATCGGCAAAAGATTTAAAAACATGAAGTATAAGGCATCAGTTTAGGATTTTCTGTAGAATTTGTGGAAATCGAGCCGAGATTAATGTAACAGATTTAAGTGTTTATTCTGAAATTTCGCGATGAAATATTGTATAAAGCGCGTATTATAGCTGTATGCTATGATGATGTTATTAATAAATTTAGCGTTATTCTCTGTAAATTTATAATAATATTTATATTGCGTATGTTTTTGGCACTAAAAAAAGATGCAATAAGCTGTCGCAAAAAGAGTTATTTTTCCAAATTATACTTGAAATGTTACATTGATAGGATCGTGGACGAATCATGAGACATAACATATGGTCAAGGATGCAGGATATTGCTTAATTTAATTTCAACAAAGCTTAAGATGTTCGGTAATATTCATCTTTATTTCGATGCAGTTAAAAGTTCTCACAAAATATAAGTGTGTATCGTGATGTATTCAAATTTTTTATACAGAGACTGATACCTGACCTAAAAGAGTGTATATATTTGAGCTGCGATTAGTGATATACAATTGTATTCCAATACATTATTACATATATGATATACATTAATTATGTTAAATATATATTATACATACACAAACACACACATGCGCGCGCATATATATATATATATATATGCATAAACAAACAAAGAAACTATGAATACTGTACAATTGCATATATTAAGATTATAGTATGATTGAGTATTACATGTTTTTATGTAAAAATAAAGCTGTACACACATACACATTCACACAGAACCAAAATAAAGATTTATGTTATTCATAAAATGCCATATGAAATATACAATATATATTAATTATTTATTTTCAACCCGAACGCAGGAACTGTAAAAATAAAAATTCCTGCAGTTAGTGCACAAATTTCGTATATCGAAAAAGTGAGCGTAAAGAATGAAGTCCGTGCGCGTTACAGTCTACAGGCAGAATAAATAGAGGAATCGATTTGTGTTAAGAAAACTATACGATTCTATTAAAAAAAGAAAAAAACTTGACCTTTACTTGACTTTGACGCCTCCATCCAAAGTCAAACTGATAAGATTAGTAAATAGATCTTTTTAAACCATGCATCTTTTATCTAAAATATATTTTTTTTAATTGCATCGCATTTACGAGATATTCGACTGTATCCAGATTTTTCATCTACCCTGTATATGCAATTGTAAAAAAATAGATTTAAAAAATCGGCTCTACCCGCTGGTTCTGGATTAATGTAATAAGATAAGTAAAGAGAAGTAAGAATCAAGAATATAAAATACAATATATATAATACGGCACATTTACTCTAATATAATAAAATAAATAATATAATAAAAAATTACGCCAGCGGTGCTCGATATCCGTGTCGTGTTTCTCTTCGCACGGTTGATATTTTGAGGACCACACGTCACAATATCTCGCGTCGTTCTTCCCGCCCTTTAAAATTAAGTGCGACGTCCACAACAGAGTTATCCTCTGGAGGTTTTATGGACAGATCTTGATTCCCCTTCGGTTTTCTTCAATTGTATTGTGTAATCGTCGGTGGAGACGGAGAGAAACGCATTCGCCTTTTACTCATTCTGTGCGTTATCCACATCATGATTCTCTTTTTTTCTTTTTTTTATCAATGAATGTTCCGCCACGGATGCCGTGGAGCCTCCTCGCTAGATCCCAACCTTCGACTGACGACTTTGACTTCATCATTGTCGCACCCGGCAATCGTCGCAACGCATCTTCGTCGGTACTCTGCAGACTTTCTCAAAGTGCGCCTTCGCTTCTCTCTGCGCCTTTTCAGGTAATTCATAAGTTGTTCCGCGTTGACAAACATTCACTATGTTAAGTTCAGTGTCGTACTGAGAGAAAAATATAATTATTTCCGAGGACCAAAATACCCTTTTTTTATTTTAACCACAAAAATAATAGTAGTAATATGCACGTAACATTATTACCGTCATAATTATAATAAACACACTTATAACAATAATAATAACAATAATAAATATTTACTAGGAAAATAATTTTCTTGACCATTTTCGCGGTTAAAATGAAAAAAAGGATTGTTGTCTCCGAAAGTAACAGGATGTCCCCAAAAAAAATCTATATATATACTCACTTTGAATGATTATAAAGTCAGCGTTAATTAACATACATAGTTCATTTTCAAAATTTAAAAGAATCTACAGAAATGAGTCATTATTTTTTGTCAACGCCTGTTTTCAAAACCGATGACCGTTCTGCCCGAGCATTGCAGATAAGCAAACCATCAAGTATTATTAAAGTGAAATGATAAAATATACCACAGAATGACGATAATCCATGTACTGCTTTGAAGTACATTGATGTACTCGTTACCAAAGGCATCTGACACAAAAAGTACTCTGGTGAAGTTTTATTTTTACATTTATTTTCATACGATAGAAAACATCATCTTTACACTCGCACTTGTTCACAATTAATAGCTTGGACTCATTTCACGCTGCAAAAGCTTCGAAGTATCGTATAGATCAATCACATATTCTTTCTTTGTAAGCGCTCGAAAGCACGTTTGCAACGTGAAACGGGCCCTAGTTAATGTCTCTTGCTCGCAACTATTATATCATAAATCACCTTTTCGTCTCGTATTCACATTAATATTAAACCGTTGGTACATTGCAAAAAGATAACTCTTATCGATGGATTTGTACTGTACTTGTATACGAATGATTTTCGGAGCGGAGGACATTGTGTTACACAGTAACTCTGTTACAGTTACATAGTTGTGAGCACAACGTACATACACGAATAGTATCATTGTCGAGTCAGCGATACAGTGTTATAACAATATATATTATCCATTGACTGATTAATCATAATATTGTACAATTTATATTTATATACAGTTGTCTCAGTGGCCGATGGATTTCAGCGTACCAAACGGTCTTGCACGAGACTTGTTAGGCTGGATCCACTATGGATGTTGTAATGAGCCCTTAGCATTTTGCCGTAAGCCCTAAATTGTAACGTAATTTCTAGCAAAAAACGTACCCAGCGCTACTGGACGCTGCAATTCTTAAGATTTAAGCGTTGATGCTACTTTCAGCAGCGTGGGAAACGCCTCTTGTTCAGAAATTGCGCATTTTATTGCTTAGAGCAAAAGACTGGAAGATTAAGACCTTTTAACAGAATAGTTGAATTATTATTATTTCAAGACTACGGTTTATAACTCAAGTCTTCGTTTTCACTAACGCATTACGACCGTCTCGTGCCTGGAATTTTGAACTAAAGGGCCGTTTGTGATCGATAACAAAAACTGCTGAAAGAGAAAAGTAAGAAAAAAATGATAATTTAGTCGAATATTTAGCGAATAGAACATTGTCATCAAAATCACGTCAGCCACTCTGCTAGGTCTTTACTACACCTATCATGGATCCGGACATGAACATGTGATTAAGTGATACGAAACGTATACTCCTCCCGGCTAATCCGACCGCGAGTTTATCTACAGCGGAACAGCGATGATTTTCTCTCAATCAACAACTCGTTTTTCTCCCTCTGCCTCGGATCAAACGATGCATAATACAGCTCTCTCCTTTTTCCTCTCCCCTTCTCTCTCTCTCTCTCTCTCTCTCTCTCTCTCTCTCTCTCTCTCTCTCTCTCTCTCTCCTAAGGTACCCCATAAAATGTAAATCTTCTCGTGTTAGAACGAAGGCGCAGATGAGAGCGTGGCGAGCACCCACATTAAGAGCCTCGTCGAAGTTTACATTCCTAGTTCATCCACGTCGGGTGACTCGACATGCAAAGGGGATTAGGAGAGTAAAGCAAGTCCTATTGAGGCGGCCCGCTCATCATACCCATCGGCGGCATGCCTTGGATGCCGTACGGTCCTTGCGGCGGCCCCTGGCCGCCCGCCATTGGCGAGTGCAACTGCATCGCTGTGTTCTGAATCTGTTGTTGAGTGGGAGTTACTTGACCTGCCGCGGGAGACGCTACAACCTGTTGCACGGACGTACGGAGTGAATTTCGTGCGAGTGCAGGGAGCCCTCTTACCGCGCAAAGGGAGCCGTCGTGCGACGTGAGACTCGCCGATTCTCTCGACCGGAGTCCCGCGAGTATACGCGAGCTCCCTTCGCGAGACAAGGATCGTTTCTCATTCCTTGGCCCGACACGACAATGCCGTTACCTGCGATATGACCGGCGGCTCCGACGGTAACGTCAAGTTGGCCAGGAGATCCCTTACGGCCGGGAACAGCGAGCATTCCGATTGGTTGACGCCGTAATCGGAGAATCTCTTCAACTGTATAGACGCCGCCGCGGTCGCGGAGGCCGGACTGGGATCTCGTTTCTCCGCCAGTTGCGTCACGTTCGACGAGACGTCGTACACAAGCGGCAATACCAGCGACGGGGTTTCCCCTTGGTACGGTATGCCTATTCTCGTGATTTGCAACTGCGGAATTACAGGATGCGTTAGCGTTTTAGCGATCGATCGATCGAACATAGGTCTTTATTGAGGGCCGTTTGTTTTCTGTCCCTTCGCTGCGCTGACTGCGCTAGTTCAAGTGTGCATCGAATCGTTTTCTATCAGTCCCGGTCTATAATAGGTGCTTTAAGCTCTAAGCCTTAAGAAATTGATCAACCACCAGTCGAATGTGAGGAGAATAATCGACTATATTTCGTCAATTTCTCAAGGTTCAGAGCTTAAATTCTCATTGTAGACCCTGCTTAAGACGTTTATGTTTTCTTACTGTACAATTATCAGAACAAAAGTTAAATAATGAAAATGAGAGTAGCAGCTTTTTCAGATACTGAAGAGACTTTGCGATATTTATATGTTAATATTGGAATGTTTGTGTGTGTACTTACGAAGAATAAGATTTTGTTTCTACAAACGATCACGCCCGCCATGCCGGTGGGTACGATTGGCGCGGCGGACGGCGGGATGCGCAGGCACCACTGCACGGACCATTTCAGCTGCTGCTGCTGCAGCAGGCCGGGAATCAGCTCCAGTTTCATTATCTGCACGAAGTCCTTCAGCACGTTGAACGGTACATTGAGCATCTTCCCGAAACCGGACAGCGTGTTGGGCTTGAATGGCGGAGCGGCCGCTCGCGTGTCGAAGAATTTTTCTATTATCTACGAATAAATATACGAATAGGTTATTGCGAGGATATTCGGGCTGAGCGACGTATCATAAATATACGTCGAATGGGGTAGCGTCCTTTAATCACCTGCAACTCCTCCAGGGTCCATTGGTCCTTGTGTTCCGATAGCGGCTGAACCTTTATGTGGAGAGACTGCAGATGTTGCGGATTCAGCCCGACTCTGCATTGTAGGCTTTCGACTTTGAAGTGTACCACGCCAGGTTCGGTGCTGTTGATACCGATCAGCTGTAACAGTTTGCGCATCACAGGGGTGAAAATATAAATATGTGTGGAAAAAGATGAACGATAGAAAAAGAAGGTTAAATATTAAGTATTTTATATGAAGCAATTTAAATCCTAGAATATTAACGCGCGTCTCCGAGACGTAGATACTTTTTACTAACTTTCTCTCTCTCTCCCCTGTTTCTTACCCCACTTATTTCCCTCTACGTGACATGTTTGGAAAAATATATACATATATATCCTAAAATTAGATCGACAAAGCTTTCGACAGCTTATAAAGGAAAACGAGTAATTTTATATTAAATCATTTAATAATTTATTAACATAACGTCCGAAATTTGTGTTGATCTAATTTCAGGATGCGTATATGTCTACATGTCACTTATGTTATTAAAAAATCTTTGAGTTTTCCTTTTTTTAAATATCATACGTCTCCAAGACGTAGGTTTAATAACATAAGCACAGATTAAAAGGTTAGTATTCTATGGTTAAAAAATAACGCAAGCAACTTTTTAAGCTGAGTTTGGACATTTTCGCCATTAAGCCTCAACCATCACAACCATGATGGTGGATTTTTGGTACCCATAAGAAACAGATTTTTGTTATGACTTTTCCCTAAGATTTTAAAATAATTTTGAAAGGAAAGTAGCACTTATACGAAAAGTTTTCAAATAAAAAGAATCTTGGATATTAAAGGGTTAAACTTCCGTAGAGAAACGCTTAATTCGACCTCCGAATTAACGCCGCGACCTTCACGAATTTGTTTCCGATTACCCCCGACTACTTCCCAGGCAAGATAAATCCACGATGAGGTGTGGCAGCGGCACTAACTCTAAAATAAGCCAGGTTAAACCCAGCATGTGTTCTTACGCATTCGTCCGTCTGGATGAACCGTTGCAGTTGCCGTCGCATGTAGATGCAGCCCAAAAATCTCTCGAGCGGACACATGTCCGGCACCGGCAAGCCAGAGGGATGAGACGAGGCGCAACAGAGTACATCGAGCGCCTCGTGCGTGATCAGCGTTGGCACAGCGCCCGCCCAAGACCGCGGCGGCAGCACCCTGGATATGTGGCTGCCGGTCTTGTGATCGGCAGCTTGCGGGCTGTGCAGCGCCGCATGGCTCGGGCTCTGTCCGGGTCTCGCGGGAGAAGGTCTCGGCACGCTCGGGGATCCGGGCCAATTGGAAGCAGCTGGAGAAGCCATGCTCTGGGAAGACGGGAAAGGGCTGCCGTCGATGTGACCTGACAATCAAATCGTTACTTTAATTGCACTGTAATCAGAGTACATAGTTAAAAAAAAAATAGAAACATTTTGTACTTGTGTTAAAAGCGGTTCTTTTAAAAGCGGTCTACAATTTTTGGGTTAAACGTTTTTAACATACCCATATGTTGATCTAACATATTGTGTTTATGTTATCTCAATATATTTTGCGTTGAGTCAATATTCAACAAGTGTTGAAATAACAGTAAAGAATTTACAGCGAGGTCCGAGTCATCCCGAGTCACCTGCTATGAAGATGTCACGATCAAACGGCACGTTATTGCACACCTGTTTGCATGAAAGAGCCAGCAGGCGAATGTCCCACTTGGACGTTACTGCAAGGTCCTGGCGACGACGTTGGCATGAGACCAGCAGGACTGGGGACGTGCATCGGATTCAATGGACTGTTAGCAACGAGACCCGATCCAGGAGACGGGTGCGGTAACATGTTAGGTGTATTCGGCGGTAATGACGGCGGTGACGCTAAGTTGAACGAAGTTGCAGGACTACTTCCGAAACTTTGATGTTGACTGGCCTGAATTAGAAAGGAGAAATTAGTACACAGAGAAAGATCTCTGTACGGATTACACCTGATCATAACTGGACATTTTTTACCTGGGATATATTTGCAGTATGAGGACTGGCTGGTGTGTGGGGGTTGCTACCGGAGGGTGGTGTGAGAGGCGGGTGAAACCTTAAGCCTTCGCGTTGTTGCGCGGGTGACTGTGGTCCGCCTCTGTGGTGGCCCAGAAAACCCACGTTACCTCCTCCGCCGTCGCTGTCCATGGTGACCGGCGACGGTGGATTGTCGTCCTCCGATTGAGACCTCCTCCTGAATACTGCGCTTTCGTCGACATACTTGGATAAAAACGCCTACAATGCCAAATATATGATTATGTCGAACGAGTTCATTCGCTTGAAATGTTCTGCTACAGGGTGTGAAGCTTATCGCTTAACCATCACCACCTTGAATATCTTCTAAATGTGAGAGTAGGAGAGAGAAAGATTTATCTACAGAAATTGCATTGATGTATCAATGGTCATCACTTGGAATATCTTCTGTAAATGTGGACTTTTTCGCCTTTATCTAATCATTAATAAAAATATTTTTAATATTTTATATTTAATAATGTCCCCTTTTAATGTCTTCACTATTAAGTAGCGAATTTTAGTGATTACTTATGTAATTATTTATTTAGTAATTCCAACGTTATATAGTGACATTGATATGCCAATATACAATAGCTGGCATTTGTTCTTATATATGTAATTACCTTTAGACCCTGCGTAGGTGTAAATTCGTCGACGACGTTACTGCGGTCGAAGCGGCTGTAAGCCCCATCGCGTATGCTTACTAAACCTCCGCCGCGCAAACGTAGCTCCAAACAATACATCCCTTGATACGCTATTCTTACCAAAGTGACACTTTGCGGCATTATAGTGAAGGTTTGTACTGGTACTTGCGGTCTCTATAAAAAAAAAAATATATATATATATATATATATACATATATACGTGAAGAAGAAAGTGGTGTAAATCTGATTTAAAAGAAGACGCACGTATGTAAGCGTACGCATGTGGACTTACGGAATTATGCACGCATAATTGAGGAATCGTCGGCAATTTACTGATCGACGTAAGCGGTTGGAGTGTTTCGTGAAGTATATGAATGAGCTGCGCTAAATTCATGTGTCTGTTCAAGTGAGCCTCCAGCTGCTCTTTCATCAGAGAATGCGCGTTAGGCACTGTATTTGTCGGACCTACGAGTTATAATCGTTTTTATATCGAGAGTTTGTCATCATTATAATCCGTCTCGATCGAACATTCCGGATTGAACTGTTAACTAAAAAAAAAAAACTCACTCTTCCCGAATATAAGCTTAAAGGCTTTGTCGCTTATACTCCATTGCACGGTCACAGTTGCACCCTGGTTCGGGCCGTACGCAAGAACGAGTTTGCTATAATTGTAAGACTTAATACTAACCATGTTGCGTAAATTGTACTTCTCTGGAATAAAAAGCAGAACCGTCGAATTACAAACTGTGTGATTAACACCCGGCGTTGTATACCTGCTACATGACGGACTGTTGATACACGTACCCATCTTAAAGTATTCAGCTAAATCATGAACGATCGTATACAGATGCACTATTTGCGCCCAATCGTTTAATAAGGCATCGACAGTACGAGAAACGGTATCGGCTGCTCCCATCTCGTACTGGAAATAGATCGGTCTTCGCAAACCTGTCAAGTCCGTGCAATTTGCGTCTAATGATTAGCGTGTCACAAATGAGAGGGGGACACAATGGCTGCGTTCAAAAGGACACAATGGTCGCACAACGGGTTGAGTAATTCACCAGCGTAATCGGTCTAAATTTACGGATCTAACGGTAAAGACCGATAATCATCATTGCTTTCCGTTCCGCTGAACGCAGCCAATGTTTTCTTACCGGAACCGTTGCTGTGATACCTTGTTCCTTGGAATGACTGCTGGAAAGGGGACTGCCGTAAAATACGAATTCCGCCGTCCAAGTTTTCGCCATGCCTTTGCCCTGCACTCGAATCGAAACACTGAGAAGCCTCTTCAGAAGGGCATACCAAGCGCCACTCGTAGCGATACTTGGCGACGGCGCGGGCAACTGAACGAGCTTCAGCACCAACGCAGTGGCGTTCGCCTCGATCTGCAGCCCTTGATGAGCTATCTCTCGTTTACTCAGCTGCACATTAGCAATCAGGGACGAAGAAATTAATAGATGGATGAGGGCGATTCATGAAAAAGAAGGGAAAAAAAAGAATTGATTATCGTCGAAGGGATTAATGAGAAATTGAGACCTCACCTCTTGCGCCAAAGTGACGAACGGTATTCGCTCGTCACACAGAGCAACGACATGCGCCAATTCCGGGATGAAGTAAGCCGGATGCTTTGGCCGTCTGTTCTGCGATGTCCCTGCCGCGTCTGTCCTGCCCCCGATCCCGGTGCTTCTACGTTTGTTGCTCGTCGTCGTCGTCGTCGTAGTCGTCGTCGTCTCCACCACTTCTGTAATGCACCCCCCATCTTGATCATTATTCCCTAAAAAATCCGCCCATTAATCCCCCTAAAAGTAGCGAAACAGTATGCCAATACCACACTGAATGTTGCCAGATGTTAATTATTATTTATCCGCATACACACTCTCCATATTATATGACATACTTGTAAACCAGCGATCGGGTTTTAGTAGGCATTAATGTTAGAAGTTAGCGTTTAACACATTTCCGTCGCAGGCTGGATTATACGTGACGCATGATAATGAAACGTGACAACAACACCTTGCACAATTGCTACCGACATTGGGACGACAGTGTGGTTAGTGCGAGCAAGCTGGCTTTGTTATTTGCCGCAATATTTGCATGCAATATGGACAAATGTACGTTACTACTAGCGGATGCGAAAAGGACGAAAAATTTCTGGAGATCATTGGAAGAAACGTCGCAAGCACAAGGCACCAGATCATTCGTAAATTGTATCACACTACCAGGACATATTGCAACTGGTAGTTTTAACTACACATACTTGCATATTTGCTTCATGCCAATATATATAATAGTGAGAAATAAATTATACTTTATGAATACATGCATATCTAGACAAACGGTCCGGTGTTAGTAATTGAAAAATTTTATATGATGTTATGCCAGCAATATTGTGGGCTATTAACACAACTGTGTTGACTGAAATATATGCGAGTTTTAAAGTGAGATGCCGTTTACAGTGAGAGAGAAGCAAATTATGAATTGAAAACAATTATATCGATAGATATCGATAGTTTCCATTTGTACGTATATAATTTATAGGTATAATTTCATGTATAAGTGTACGTGTACATATACTTATTATACTTATCTGCGTTACATCATTATATGGAGAACATATGTGCGCATACTCACCACTGTCGACGCTCGTAAACGGGCCATGAGTAATGACGAAAGTGTCGAACTCAATGAGGCTCTGGACCTTTAAATACATTTTCGGTATCTCCGTTTCTATATTGTCATCGTGTGGGTCATCTTCGACGGTGCTATGCTTCACCACAGCGAGATAGAAGGTGCACTCTATCTCACAGGGCGAGCTTTCTTTCTCTTTAAACGCGACGATCTAGAATGAAGCATATTCGCAGCCCACGTCACATCGACTGTAAACGACCATTACTCGATATTACACATACCAGTATAACCGTAGGATGTCTGTGCAATTGCACGAACATCCGATGCCTACTAATCTTGGACATAGGATGGTCCGGATGATGCAAGATGGGCAAACGTTCGTGGGAAGTGGCCGGTAGATGCTGCAACGTCTTCTCGCAACGCCTCTGCGTTATCCAAAATCTGTCGCGAAAGTATTCGTCAGTTGGTTTGCTCGGAGAATGCGACCAAATCGGTGAGCAGTCTGACAACGCAGATTGGCGACAGATCGAGTACGATCTGTCGATAGATCTGCAGTCATCTGTGTCCGCGATTTGCTGTTGTTCTATCATCGACAGAGCCTGCTGAGGGAATCCGACAGCAGATTGCCGGCAGAGAGCGAGCAGGATCTGCGATACGTTCTATTTGAAAATATTGGAACGACGAGTCCTGTTTCTGCCGTCAGTCTGTCGTCATACTCTGTCATCAGATCCTGTCGTATCTCTGCCAGCGAGCTGCTTAGAAAGCTCGCAGCAGACACTGCGCAAAATCTATTTTGTAAGTTTAGCCATCTAATCAACGAAAACTCCGTTGCTGTTATATATTCGCACCTCAATTCCGATATAAGTGACGGTAGACGCGAGTGATCCCCGTTCAAAGCCGCAGTCAGCTCCGGTACGAGAGGCGCGTCGTATTGAGGAACGTGACACTGAAGCATACCGGTATGAGTGTCGACTGTGACCAACAGGAGCTCGGCGCGCAAGCACGGTTGCAATATTGGCACTGACAAAATCGCGGGAGATCCCGCCAAGGTACCTGCAAGCCCGATCATTTATAATTGTCATGCCAGTCCAATCAATTACGAGGAGAGAGAGAGAGAAGAAAGAGGCAGAGATCCTCAGCTTACATTCAACGTCTTTCAGCATCGTCTGCAACTCTTGCTTCAGTTCGGATAAACGGCTTCGTGTCCGGATGTAAATTGTATGAACGAGTAAACATTCCATCGACAACTGGTCCGACCTGATGGCTCTGTGTGCTATTTCACTTTCCTGCATCGCGACACCAATGTTCTCAATGTTCGACGTTAACGTTGTTGTATTCGAGAGAGAGAGATTAAATGTATGTTACTTTACCTTACTGCCCAGCGACGGGATATGTACAACCGCGAGAGGCCTTGCGGGATCATGTTGGTCCACTTGAACGGTTAATCTGTATCCAAGTTCCGATCGTGGATCCTTACTCGTTAATTCCCTGAAAGAGCCACGAACATAAAGATTTTTGAAGTGCCGTACGATCTCTCCTTGATGGATTTTCTCTAAATATGATACATGCGTTACCCATCGCTATTACCTCCAATAAGATATGGAGAGACACTTGCCAGCCGTATAATCGTCCACATGAATGTGATCGTCCAATCTATCCCGAATTAACCTTAACGTTTGAGAATATAAAACTTCTAATTGTAACGACTGACAGAAGTAATGTAATATATGATACACTTCTGATAATGGATTAGTGCTTTCGGCTAATCGTGACTGAATGACCTGCCATGGAAGGAAATTCCGTTAGTTAAACATCTTACGGTGTAATTCAAGTTTCCTCAATTTTGCCACCATGTAACAAAACAATACCTGATGCACGTATCGAGTTTGTAACGGATGCACCAATGCCTTTCCGTCACCGGTTTCCCTGTCCGAAACCAGAATCTCCAATTCCAGCAGTCTCCACGGGACTGCCGGCCCATCGCCCATAACTGTAAGAGACACTGAGAATTCTTGCTCGACAAGGAATGTTACTCTCCCCGTCTCGATCTGTGTATTAAGAACAAGAGTGTGAGCATAAAACATCAGTCGCAATACCAGTAATATAATTCGATGAACTTAATTAACGCACTTATCATTGTTACTTGTGCCTTTACCTTTAAATTACGCATCTGCGGTAACAAATTCCCAGTGACCAGCCTGTGTTGAATGACTTGATTCAGCCTTTGCAACGTGCTCCTCTTTTCCGCAAGAGTAATTGGATCCGGCGGCACTATTTTTTCCTACTCACATATAAAGATACACTCTTTCAAATTACATACATACGAGGGCATTTCAAAAAGAAAAAAATACACTTACCCGAATGCAGGCTGGTAATCTACCATATGTACCAGTGGTGAGTACCTCTACGGCTGCAGGAATATGAAAATTTGGTAACCTGGCATGCACTAAAGTTTCACGAGCCATTCTTGCCAATATATCTGCAGTGTCCACAAAAAGCAACGACTGCTTATCCAAGAACGCCATAATATGCTGAAATGAAGGGGGAAACGAATAAGATTGTGAAATTTGGCTGTGTGCGTGAGATTGCAGGATGTATAAAAATTTGTCTCACCGCAGATTTATCCACTTTAGATGCACTATTTGCCCATTTTACCAATGCCAATAAACGGACATATAACTGTCTTGTTCGAGCAGAAAAATTATAAATTTCAATTTTGCGCTCCATATCGGTTTTACGGGGTAATCTAAACAAGCCAAAACAGGATTCAAAGACAGATGACATTATATACACATATCATTGGATTGCATAGATTATCAATCGCATCTGGTACGTACAGTTCAGCAAGAACAGTGAGCTCATGATATGTTCGTTGTATGATAAAATCTATGAGGATGCCTAAGGAGATGGATCCTCCGCGATTGCCTTCCTGCGGTATATTGTTTGTAACAGGAGTTTGATGACCCTCCAAAGGTACCGGTGCCATTTTGATACCCTGTTTCAATACGTTAGTATTTAGCCGTAATGTATCTATACCTGCAAAAGTCGCATATATTATGTATAAAATCAAACACGTAACTTATACAAAATAATACAATGTAAAAAAAAAGATGATAATTCTAGAGTATATATAAAATAATTCTACAGAAGGGGAAAAAGAGAAAGAGAGAGAGAGAAAGTACATCAAATTCTATAAATCAAACTTACTTTGAATTGTATATATCGTCTAATTAAAACTGAGAGGATAATTCCACATTTTTAATCTGCCCAACAATTACATCGGCATGTAAATAGCTGGTGTTGTCACATTGACGCCGCACGATATCCAGCATAACTCAAAAGCGCTATTCACAGTTCCGTTAATCTTGAACTTGAAAATTAACGTCAACCTCTGCTAGCAGCAGCTGTAACTTGATTCAATCAAGTCGATCCCTTTGTTATTTTCCGATACACGTCCTGAGACGCACCTACGATAGAAATGAACGCATGCGGCACGCATGAATCAACATTCTCGGTCGTTCTCTTCAACTACACGATGCTCGCGCTAGAACAGAAATGACCATAAAGCCCGTATCAAATTGAGAGAAATCTTAGGGCCGGCAGGAGCCAAGAACAAATCCAGATTTGACTTTGGAGACGTCGTGCGGTGAAAGCGCGAAACACGGTACTTATGTGTATGTCATGCACGCATATGCTAGTGTATTTGCCCCAAGAAACTATTGGAACTATACTCTCTCTCGTAAGTCAGCGGCACACGTTGTTCGTTTCGTGCTGGATTGTTTGCTGGATGGAAATACTGCGTTTTGATTGGTGTATTCATTTTTGAAAATGCACCAATCAGAACGCAATATTTCTATCCAGCAAGCAATTCAGCACGAAAACAAGCATCGTGTGCCGCTGGCTTTACTGGCATCTGTGCTTTCCTGAAATTTTGGATCGGAGAAATCATATTTTCTCGGCATATCCGTTTTGAAGCGTTCCCCGTGGATATCTCAAAACTGTAGAGTCGGATTTTGCAACTAGGCCCTCCAAGAATTTGTAATGTCTTTGTCTGTTCTTTATAGCTGTACTGCTGAACTAATGAAATAAGTTGAAGTAAGAAAACGTACTTATCTCACTTCAACTTATTGCACTAGTTCATCAGTGCAGCTGCAAAGAACAGACCAAAGGAATGCGGATTAAAGGATGGAATTTCACCAATCGAGACGCACGAAGAAGAATATGCAGTGCGATTGAACACGACAGCCTGCGTGACGCTACCTAGAGAAGTTGAAGGTAACCAAAATGATGCGGGGTTCGAGTCTGCGCTAAGTGATTTAAATCTCCGCCAAACTGAATTTGAGTCTTGACCAAGTGAGTTGTTACTCGGTGGCAGTTTTCGTTATTTCAACATTTTCAATATTTCTTTTCATTTTTCCACATTTCAAGATCACAACATTTATTGTATCAGCACAGAAAGTTTATTTTAAGAGGAAGAACCTAATAGAATGGGTGGAATTTTGCACTTATTTGTTCTTAGAGAGTGAGTGTGAGTTGTTAAAAAAATGGATACGGAAATTTGCGGTTTTCTGTATGTTAAGTCGGCAGGACATAGATATATCGCACAAAAAGTAAGGAAAAAATCTTTGGTGTCATCAAAAGTTTGGAAACGACTTTGGTGTTCTATAAAGAAATTAGGATCCGGACTTGGCGTACAAGTACAATTTGACAGTAAACTCGGTTATAGCAGTAATGTTTCGAAGCAGAGAGAGAAGGACAATTCTGTAATAATACCGCCAAGTGCCATCATATATCGCATTCATTCCAAAACAAAGCAATTTGCTTTTGGTATATCACAAGGTAAAGAAAGGAAACTCTTACTGTCATTGTCCGCCAATTCAGAAACTGAAACACAGCGTTGGATGGAAAATATTAGATATCTATTGAATCCTAAGAGAGGTTGTTGCACAGGAAAGTCATACAATATATCTATGGTCGATAATGCACACTCAAAGGCAGCAGGATTAATTGGTCATTATGATTAACGCATATTTATTTTAAAGTATTGTGATAATTTAAGTTTATATTAATTTTACTTTAAATATGTTTCTTCCCAAAGGTTTATATGGGAGTTTAACTGCTACTGAAACAGGAGTATTCATTAAAAGTCCTCAAACTGATGAAATGGTCAAATCTTTTGAATGGAAGGAATTTGGCCAATTTCATTTAATGACAGTAGGTCGTCCAGAAGATGTAAAACGTATTTGTGTATTACACACGACTAAAGAGTTTTGCTGCGGTATTGGAGAACTCTATTTTTTTTGTCTTGAAGCCAATAAATTATTACAAGATTTAGTAACACAGGGTCGTGGTCCAAAACATAAACAAAGGTCTTTGAATTTTAATGATGAGGTCTGTGAAGTACCCAAACAACGTAGTGAACTTATTGGTCCTTTTTCACAACAAAAAAGTAATTTGTTGTGTATAGTGGATTTAAAAGCAGATTGGTATGTGTGTTATTGTACATAATGTTATATATATACAATATTAAAATAGTAAACAATTATATTTTAAAATAATATGTGAAAATTATAGTTTTAGTGCATCAATACATAATGAAGATATAGAGAATGTGTATCAATCAATACCTGCTAATTTGACATACAACGAGGAGTCAGATACTTATAATTATGGAGCATCTAATATATCAATCGCTTCTGGAATTTATGAAGAAATTGTAGATAATATATGTTCCATTAAGTCAAAAACTAATACTTCAAATGTATATGAGGATACAGATACAATTCTTTGTAGTCTGCAAATAAAACCTCCACCACTGCCACCACGACAGAGGCAAAAATCAGAGCACATAGAGGAAGTGAGGTATGGCTGGTATGATTAAATGTTAGTTCAACTTAAATACACTTGTGTCCTTTCCGGAAAATGTATTTGATTAATATAACTTTAAAATAATTTAAAATAATTCAGAATCGGCACTTTTTTTCTTTAAATCAGGATAAATGCAAAAGAATATTTTTACACTGAAGTTTGTGATCTTGAAGAAAGTTTACAAAGTACTGAAGTATATACGCAGAAAACTACACTTATAGACACTTCCAATTATGTTCCAATGTCACCACAATTCAGAGGTTCTAAAACGTTTAAATCAGATGCTACTGGAAATGCAAGACAAGATGACTATGTTATTATGCGATAACATATATCCTGTAAGTAATTTTTAGGAAATTATAAATAATGTTTTATAATCTTGAATATGAATACATGTAGATAAAATTGCCACCTCCCGCCCTTCACACACACACACACACACACACACACACACACACACACACATGTAAACATGCGATATCTATTTTAATTTACTAGTCTCAAGTGAATTGTTATTCTCTGTATAATTGTCATATATTTTACCTGCAAATTTAATAATAAATATGAGCGTATGTACACACATATATAACTATAATATGATATATAATAAAAATGACAATATAACAATATAAGAATTAGTTTACTTTTGTCATTTTAATGAATATATCTGTACTTGGCGCTGTGACAAATCTGTTTATAACATATCTGTATGAAGTTACGGTCTCTTCGCAAACATCGATTTTGTAATTTCGCAAAATGCCAATGAGTCCAATTTTGGCTTGAAGAATACCCATTCGTTCACCTGTAAAGTATCATCAGTTTAAACTTCGTTTTCAAGTATTTTCTTTAACGAAGGCAGCTTTTGTTTTAGTAGAAATATATAATTATTTATCCATGCATGTGAGTACAATACCTCACATTTATATATTTTCTGCTATCTATGTACATATATAATATCTCTCTTACATTCTCCAATTAATTGAATATTAAATTTACTTACCGATGCAATTTCTTAGCCCATATCCAAACGGAAAGTAATGAGTTTCTGGTTTGCGAAATCTCGTCGATGAATCTCTCTGGATTACAAATTTCTGGTTGAGGGTATATTTTTGTATCATGATGAAATGCATAGAGAGGTATAAGAACTTTCTGCTTCTTTGGCACAGTTATATTAGTATTTTTGAAAGTATAGTTTGATAATATCTCGCGTTGCAGCGAATGTGGCGAATATTTTCGCAATGTCTCTAAGAATAAAACGATTTTTACAGAATAGCACCAAATCAATTAACTTACCATCAGATGCGTTACAGCATTATTATTTATGAAATTGTTTAAGTATACTCCCTGATATTTTTTATTAGAATAAAAACAAGATGAATAAAGTTTATCACAATAAGAATTATTATATTACGTTATTTTGTTGGTTATTATTACGCAGATATTTGCATTCTAACAACGAACAAAATCATGTAACATAATAATTTTAGTTATTCACTATTTATTTATATCAGTAGTGTATAAAAGTGTATTCTGTAAATTTAAATATTATTATGTTTACCTTTAAAATCTGCATTTAAATAAGATATTGCGTTTATATCGTCATATTGTAGTTGACCGTTATTTTTCGCATACGTGTCCAGTATCTTTTTCCGTAATTTATCTTGAATATTTGGATGAGAAGCTAGTTCATATAATGTATTACATATCGTCGCTGCAGTGGTCTCATAGCCTGCATAGAGAAACCCCAACATTTGCGTACGCAGAAACTCATCCATTACATCTGAGCCTAAACATGTACATGAATGTTTACTTTATTATGTTCTACTTCTTTTTCTTAAAATAAATTATGTATACTAATTAAAGCTCCTTTTTTATTCCATGATTCTTTTATAAGATTTTTTAAATTTGTGAACAGTTGCGTTCGGTTATCATAATAATTCAATTTCAAATCAGATTGGTATTTTTTACAAGTAACACTTATGTTAACATATTAAATATATATATATACATATGTGTGCGTGCGTGCGTGCGTGCTTGCGTGCGATCGTGCGTGCGTGCGTGCGTGTATATGTGTGTGCGTGTGTGTGTCGATTTGATTAAAGTATAAAAAAGTTTTTACCAATGAACTCGGAGAGTTTTCCAGGATTTTTCTTTAATTCCATCAGCAAACCTAATATGTCAGCTTTAACGATAGCGTGTTTTTTTCTATATTTTATGATATCGGAAATAAAATTGAGAAACGGTGGTGTTACTTTACTATTGCTGCTGAGCAAGTAATCAATCCATTTGTACAATCGTGGACATATGTCTATCATTACTGTTTTTATTAGCGTACCCCAGTATGTGCCACAAGCATTATCAGTATATTTTAAAAAATCATTTTCTTCATAATTTTCTCTCGTTAAGGTCCTCATATTAATACTCATAAGATTAATGCCGGTCATGTCAGCAGTTAATCTTGCCGCTATATTGCCACAATTTATTATGTTATTATTCTTCGATAGTAATTCTTCTAGATAATTGTCCAAGCGTTCCAGAGATTCTAGCATCATATGACATAATTCTTTAAGTTTGCTGGGTGTAAAAGCCGACGATACTTTCGACCTAATGATATGTGCCACTGGTACATTCGCATGAAAAAGGAACTGTTTCAATGGCTCCTCCTGCGAAGATACCAATTTATTCACTTAAGTGACGCAATAAAGAAATGTGATGATGATTATTATTATAACGGATACATACTTGTAGGGAACTGTTTAAACCTCGGTTAGGAAATAACGCAGAATCCTTAATAAAAACATCTTTTATATGTTCTGGATCTTTTATGATCAAAATCTGTTCCCTTATGTGAAATATTCCTACGAATGGTGGTCTCTCATAAGCATCGTATATATTCCTCAGGTACTTCTCGACTGATGTTCTTCCAAGTAGAACCTCCTTCATCGTACCAAAAAACATTGTGAATGGAGGTCCAGGTATATTGTGTTTCTGCCAAAAATTATAAGTCGCAGTTAAATAGTAACAGAGCAGGCAAATAATTGACCCGCATAGAATTCCAACGATTCCCACCATTTTGAGCCTATGACCAAACATTTATTATAAGTTTTGCCTCTAAATCTTTTGGTTGAAAATATTTTTAGTTGTTTACGTTTAAATCTAACATTGTATGACATACGAATTTTTCTATACACTATAAAATTCTAGAAATTGTAACATTTCTCATAACTTGTGTAATTATATCCTGTATTTATGTGTGATATTTGATATATTTATAACTTGGTATATTTACGCTTAAAAAAAAATTGTTACGTTTTCGCATTAAAATCGCAAACTGAGAGCACACTTCAACCTGTCCTACCTTATGTTTATATCGCAATTTTGTATACGTATAACTAAACGACATAGTTACGTAAGAGAGATAATCGGCTAATAAATAAATAAAAATGCATATACAATTATAAGAGTAGGATAATAATGCTAAATAAACTTTAGACAGGAAAAGTATTATCTTAAACAGTTATGAAATCTGTTGCGATAAGAATAATCGGGTAATTAATTTTCCACCAAGTTGCATAAATATTGCATGCATATCACACATACCAGGAACAACATTTAAATTTGTATTTTTACTATGGTAATATGTGACGAACTGAACACACTCACCGCAATTCACTATGCCATTTGCTATAAATATCTGATAACATTCAACAAGAAAAGTTTTAACGATAGCTGTTCGTTAGATATGTATGAAAAATTTTTAACTTATATTAAAATGTATTAACGCATGAGTAATTCCTGCCAATATATATATGGGTAAGTGTGATGTGGATATGTAGTGAGTGCAAAAGATATTCGTGCCGAAATGTTTAGAATAGGTTTTTAATAAAATTATATTTGTGGAAGAAATGAGCGTTAATCAATACTTCATTAAAAATAAACATAATCGATGATATATATATTTCTCAAAATTATGAATCGTTATTCTCTATACACTTGTCATATATTTTGCCAGTAAATTTAATAATAAATATGCGCATGTGTACACACACATATAACTATAATATGATATATAATACAAATGGCAAGTCAATATAACATTCTAATAATTAGTTAACTTTCGTTATTTTAACCCTTTGCGGTCGGTCCCCGTAGCGGGAGCATTTTCAAATCGTCGTAGAAATCGGTGTCCCCGCTATAATTTTCTTCCAAAAATTATAAGTCGCACTTAAGTAGTTATAGAGCATGCAAATAATTGACCCACATAGAATTACGATTCCTAACATTTCGAGGCTGTAACCAAACGTGAACATTTTTTTTAAGTTTCGCCATTCAACCTTTTGTGTCGCAAATATTTTTAGCTGTTTACGTTTAAATCTAACATTGTAGGAGATAAATACCTTTTTATACACTAAAATTCTAAAAATTCGAACAGTTCTCAAAAATTGCGCAATTATATCCTGTATTCGTGTATGATATTTCATATATTTACAATTTGGTATACTTACGCTTTAAAAAAGTTATTACTTTTTCGCAAGATCACAAAGAACTGAGAACACGCTTCTACCTGTCCTACCTTACGTCCTGTCCTACCTTATGTTCTTATCGCAATTTTATAAACGTATGATTAAGTAAACGACGTGGTTACGTATGAGAGATAATCGACTGAAAAGAATTAAATTTGTACATACAATCACAAAATTAAGATGAATTTAGAATTAAGAATTAATGCTGAATAAACTTTAGATTGGAAAAGTATCAACGTACATAATTACTACCAAATCTATTGCAATAAGAATAATCGAGTAAGATATATTTTCCTCAAAGTTCCATAAACATTGCATGCATATCAGACATACCAGAAAAAATATTTAAATTTATACTTTTGCTATGGTAATATATTACGGACTCAGCATACGCACCGCGATTCACAGTGCCATTTGCTACAAATGTCAGATAACATTGAATATATAAAACGTTAACGATAGATGTCCGTTAGATATGTATGTAGTATTTTTAACTTACATTAAAATGTATTAACGCATAAATAATTTCTGTCAACATGTGCATATGTATGTGTGCATATGCAGTGAGCGCAAAAGGTACTCGTCCAGGAGGGTTTAGAATAGGTCTTTAATAAAACTATATTTGTAGAAAAAATGAGCTTTAATTAATACTTCATTAAAAATAAACATAACCGATGATATATATTTCTCAAAATTATTATAACAAATAAAATTTTACAATTGATATGTATTGTCACAAGAGTCGAGTAAGAAAGAAATATCAAAAGAGCGATATATATTTTGATCATGTATGAACCAAATAGACGTCATAAGTTGGACATCAGCAGACCGGACGATAACGTCGATATGTCACATCCACTAAATGACATTCATGAGGAAATTTTTATTTCGTGAGAAATTTATGCTTTTCATTTTCGTCAATTAAAGAATTTTAATCTTTTGTAGTAAATGCGATTATTACTTAAATCAGATGCTACCGGAAGTGCAAGACAAGATGACTATGTAATTATGCGATAACACATATCCTGTAAGTAATTTATGGGATATTACAAATAATATTGAATTACATATAATATTGAATTACATATAATATTGAATATGAATATATACCAGGTGTACCGGTATGAAGTGAGCGTTTTTTTGTGAAATCAAAACACTATTTTTTAATGGGAAAGTAAAAAACATTTTATTCAAAGTATTGGCCATTGCTAGTTACACATTTTTCCCATCTTTCAGGCAATTTGTGGATTCCACGCCAATAAAACTGTTCGTCTTTTGAAGCAAACCAATTAGTCACCCAATTTTCGACTTCCTCGTAGGAATCGAAGTGCTGCTCAGCCAATGCGTGTCCCATCGATGAAAACAAATGGTAGTCGGAAGGAGCCAAGTCTGGTGAATACGGCGGGTGGGGTAGCAGCTCCCAGCC